CAAACTCACAGAGATTCACCTGGCTCTGCCTCCCAGTGCTGGAATTAAAGGCGTGTGCCACCACTGCCTGGCATAAATATGTATGTAAAAATCAGGATGCAGTGCTTTGGCCTAGTACTCCTAGGGCATGAGGGAAAGTGACAGAACATTCTCTGAGTTTTGGTGAACATCCAGTCTAGACTACTTGGCAAATTCTAGCCCATTACAAAACACTGTCTCAAATGAGCCAGCCAGTAGACATCTACAATGTAAAGAGTATTTGCTGGACATGGAAGAACAGCTGAACACACGAATTCCAAACAGCTAAGAATGAATGCATAGGACATGTACCAGGTCAAGTCAGACAATATCTTTCTCTTGCTCATTCAGGTGCCACTAGCTGGTTTTGTCTGTTGTCAAATATAGCCAGAGCCTAGGATGAGTTACATTTTTCCTGTCCTTCTCCTTTCCCTTTCCCATCTTCTGTTGCAGCACACAGGGATGAGGGGTACCTGAATGAAACACCACCTCTAATGTAGATCTCCTAGGTTAGATTTTTTATGTCTGTTTTTTGGTTCTCTCTGTCTCTGTCTGTCTCTCTGTCTGTCTCTGTCTCTCTGTCTCTCTGTCTCTCTGTCTCTCTGTCTCTCTGTCTCTCTCTCTCTCTCTCTCTCTCTCTCTCCCTCTCCTGATTGGTACTTAATCCATTCTTCATTTTCATTCACATAGTGAGACAACCAGAGATGATATAAATTCATGAACATACTGTGTTTGACAGTCTCCAGCTCCTAGGTGGTTCCAGGATCTAGCAAATGGCTTGGCTACCAAGCTTAATTCAGAAAAGGACTGTGCCTGAGAACTGTAGCTGTGACAGAGCCAATAGAAATCCAGAATTGGCAGGGGATTTTCTGGGATCCATCCCTCCTTCTTTTGAGTGATTTTGCACCTGTTTCATCTGTTGGGAAATCCCAACCACAGTTTTCCCTCCACTCCTCTCACCTCCTCTCTCACTTCTTTTCTCCCGCAGATTCACAGCCCTTCCATTTACTTTCCTAAAAATGCTGGTCTATAAGAAGACAGCCAAACAGGACAAATAAAGGCACAATAAGTCAAGGCAAAAGCCCTCATATAGAGACTATTTTTTCTCATCTGTGGCCACTACTTCTGCTTTCAGGTTAGGTTGGCATTCATTATTCAGCCTTAGATTCCAGCTTTATCTGAGAAAATGATGGTTCACTTCAACCTGAAAATGACAGAGATGGGAGAACTGCTGTTCTCTACTCTCCCTTGGTGGACCCACTCTGGAAAGAATGCTATGTCAGGAGCAACTCTTACATGCTGCCCTAATACTCCT